ATGCTCCAGCAGACTCAAGTCTGTTCTGATGCACTGGAATTACAACACATTAGAGCAGCCTCCAGGCTCGTGTATAGGCACCCTTATTTCCTATTTAGGCACCTAATTGCCATTGAAATGAATGGGAATGCCCAGTGATAGAGGACAGATCTCCATGGTCATGTGGAACGTAGAAATATATTCTTCATTGTTACCAGATCTAGAATTAAATAGCTTCATAATTATTAGGACCAGAAGAGACTATCATATAGTCTGATTTCCTAAATAGCCCAGGTCATTCTGCATAGTTCATATAATTTTTTCACACTGAAACAAAGATTTGGCTTGACTAAAATATGTCTTCCATAAGTGTGTCCAATTATGACATAGGCAGTCAAGGTTCTTTGGGTGCATCTGATATCTTTTATTAGACCAACTTAAATAGTTGGAAAACAATTATTAAGCAAGCTTTTGGGTTCAAAAACCCTTCATCAGGCTAAGGAAGTTTCAGCAGTTGGTGTGTGCTCTTCCTGGATGGAATGAAAAGTAAAGAGAAGGGGGATGAAAGTGGAGAGAGACCTGGGGAGTCAGATGTCAGGCACGTTATAATGTGTCATAAATCCAATGTCTATATTTAGTCCATGATTTTTGGTATCCAGGAGTTTGAAGAAGTGGAGTTCATAGGCTCGTCTCTGGGAAGTGTTGTGTAAGTTTCCTTTGAGGATCAGGACTGAGAGATTGGAGAGAGAGTGGTTTTCTTGTGAGAAATGTGCCCCCACAGGTAATTGGGTGTTTCTGTCTTTGATAGATTTCCGGTGTGCATTCATTCTGGTGCGCAGTTGTTGTTTGGTCTCTTCTACGTATTTTACATCAGAGCATTTGGTGCGTTGGATGAGGTATGAGGTATATTACATTTCTGGAGGTGCAGCTGTAAGATCCAGGAATGCTGATGGCTCTGTTGTGGGGTGTAGTGATAGTGGGGGTGGTGGAGATGTGTTGGCAGGCTTTGCATTTTTTGTCCTGGCACGGTCTGGATCCTTTTGGTGTGTTCTGGGCTTGAGGGAGTTTGCTTCTGGTGATGAGGTTAGTGAGGTTCGGTGCTTGTTTGAAGGCTAGGATGG